TGTGACAATACCTTAATTTTAATAAAACATGTTTTACCAACTTCTTCTTTAAAATGGCAAGCCCAATTGCTTTGATATTTTATATGTCAACACATTTGGAAGACCTCTGACAGATTTGTGATTTTTATGATAATAAGATTTATTTCCTAATTTTTGTGAATATTTTAGTCATTTTTGGTAAAGAAATTCTTTTTTCAACTGTCTAATTCTATAGCATGGTTATATCAGCTATATTTTAGTAAGATATTTGATGTTCACAATGATTTAATAGAAAAACCAAAACATATACTTGGTTTCAATAATAGATTTCAATCCTGATAACAAATCTAAAGCTATCTAATGCAATAACATTAGGTAGTATGGTGTGTATATGCAAAATAGCTGAAAATGTGATGTTTTCTGTGTGTAGCATGAAATCTATACGATTTCACCATGAAATGATTCCACAAAGGTAATTTACATACCTGGTAGTTTATAACAAAATTGACATAAACTCTTTAATTTGTAAACCAACCATTATTTGATTTGAACAAGGAATGTCTTCTTCTGTCAGTTTGTATGCACTGTTTACGAGAGCAAGCCATATGCACAACAGTACAGAACAATATTATTACCGGTAATTTCACTAATTTGTATAACAATATATGGTAAGTGAAGTGTTATGATATAAGTATGGTATTAATAATTATTATTTATTTTTTTGATACAGTACATTCCGCACCTAAAACTGTATTTCATATTTGGAACACCATAATCATTAATGTTGCATTTCTTGGTTAATACATTTTTTGTAGGACATTTTTTGTATTTTTTGATTACTAGTTTGGTGGCAATGCAGCTTCTCTGAATGTAGCTGAACAGTATGTACAGGCTTTTGGTAATCTAGCCAAGACAGGAAACACAGTGTTACTACCCACAAACACTGGTGATGTTAGCAGTATGGTTACACAGGTATATCTTTTTATTATGCATTAATAATTGTATGAGCCAAGACTCTTCACAGTTGGCATGTCCCCAACTGTGAAGTATATTGTTGTAATGTATAGTATTTGTTGTCTAATATGTAAGCAGGTTCACATTACTTTTTAATCATATTTTTTTTTTTTGTATGTCTTTGTTGCCAATGGTGTCTTTTAATAGACTTTTTACAAAGAATGTTTTTCAGCATCATAATTGAGGTAAAATAAGTGTTTACAATAAGTTATTGTTTTGCTTTCTATTCCCTTTGACAGGCCATGGCAATATACCAAAACCTTAGTAGCACACAGCAACAGAACCAAACTCCGATTCCAAATCAGAACATGGACAAAGAAACAGATTTGGTAAAGCCTGACATTGTGGATATTGAAGCTATCCGTCGTGAAATTGTCAATGAGGTTGACAAAGTAGTTAAAAACATTGAAAACGATCTAGATAAACGAAAATAAAATACAAATTTGATATCATGTGATATATAAATAAAGTATTGTATTTGCCTTTTAATTTTTGTTTTAAGGAAAAATGCCATCCAGTTGCTTGAAAGATTGTTGGTTTTGCATATTCTGCTTGAAATCATGTTGAGTCAATGAGATCACAATCTTAGAATGATGTCTTTCAGAGCCCTGAAAGCAACTCTCATTGTCACTTGGTCGTTCATCTGGCTGAGGAAATGCAATGTGATATTTCGGAGTACTAAAAGAGAATAATTTTTCAGATGATTGTCAGTACATTTTTTGATATTTTATGCTAAACTTGATATTTGGTTCAATGAACTTGTTGGATGAACATACTGTTATGTATCTAATTTAACAACTTCCCTTAGTGTATAATAATGTAAACAGTCACAGGAACAAAGCATGCAAATTGAACATATTAACATAAAATGAAAACCTATTCCAAGCATGCATTTGAATGTCAAAATGAAAATATACTGTGATACATTTACCAGATTTGACAAGATTACAAATTGCTCAAACAGGAATAATATCGAGTACCTCTATAGTCCGGAGCAGATTCCTGACAGTGCTGAAGTAAACAAGTTTGTGCAAGCAGCACCGCATCTAAGGTTAGACCAAATAACATTGAAAAGAAGTACGTTGTTCAAATCAGATTTTTCTAGAAGTAACTTGAAATAGGGTGTGGCATGTCATAGCAACTATAGAAATTTGGAATAAGATTAGTTCGAATAACCTTGTCCAGCTCTCACATTACTGGTGTTTTTGGAGTTGTCTCAGTATGGTCAACCAAATTTCATCAGAATAGTCAAAATTATGCTTCTTGATGTTCTGACACTCCAAAAAAGAATCCACTCTTATCTAGGTGCGTAATTTAGACCATGAACTACACAGGTTTAATTTTTACTATGTGTTCATCTTATCACAGGAACGTGCATAGTTGTATGCTGTTATAATGGGAAAAACAATGCTTACATTTAATAAGTTGGGATGGTTAATGACTAATTTATTTATTTAGATTTAAAAACTACGGAATCATCTCAAGATATTCACATGTAGATTTTTCCACATATTCAAAAAAAAAATGTGATACATCAAATGAAACAGATTTTAATGTAGAATTTATTCTGTAATACAATAGTAGAAGTTTAATTTGTGAGGGTGATATTTTACTTTTATGAATTACTACCATTGTTTCAAATTGATAACGATCTCCACAAATTAACACAGGCGGTTCCTTAGTAAGTTTGCCGACGATGTTTGTAAATAGGTGTTTCTTTCATTCACACGTCCACAGTAAAACAATTATTTGATTTATTTTCACTATATTGATCTCGTGATAAATTTACGTGACCTGTGTTTGATATTAGAAATTGTTTTCATAGAATTATGCCAATTAAAGCAGAAGGGTCGTCACCTGCGCGTACGCAGGAATTGAGTTCCAAGCATCGATAACAACACACGCTAAAAGCGCAAAGGCTCGTGGGTAGACGCTTATCTGACGCATGCACAGGTGATGACTCCCGCGCTTTAACATTAGTACACAATGTACAGTGCACTTGCATATTGGTGCCTGGATGCAAATAAATGCCAATATTATCTCGTGGGCTGCATAAGTTTCCAGTGACATCATTTCCTTGTATTTGTTAATGTTACCTATGTTGTTGCGTTATCGAGACCTATAGTTAAAAACTCGGAAAAGTGAATAAATATCTCGTGAAAGGCTGTTTGAATATCATACTTGCCCCCGAAAGATGTAGAATTTTGAAACATTTACAAACATTAAATGGTCGCCAATTTGAATTAATTTCAAATGACTCTCATAGCTGAGCAATCTGAATAAAATCTGATGTAGTGTACGGGCTTTAATTATTTTGGCTATAAACTTATTTTAATTTTATTTTTTATTACTTTTGTTATTAATGCCTTTTTATTTTATTATTTTACTTTGATTTTGATTTTGTGATTTTTTTAAATTCCGCCCTACATAAATCTGACCCGATGCCTATGTAACGAGATTTCAACGAGACCCACTATCGGCAATTTTAGTCAACGAATCACAGACCTCCTTCTATAGCGCACATGATGACGTCACCGGGCAGAGTTAGGTGGCAAACACTCAAATAAAATGACGAATTATACCGACGTTAGCGACCGAGAAAACACGGTTTTTCGGTAAGTTTATCATTGTCAAATGCAACGAGTCATTTTTTATGTTTATATTGTGGCTCGAATGGTTCGAGTTTAGATCGTAATTTTGCGTAGTTATTATGGGAGTGACGATTTTGTTTCCACCGGTTCTACCGAACACCGGTGTCTTTTTCCAGTCGCTTGCCCTGGAGACGGGTGATGTTTTGTTGATGATCGGGCCAAAATCGTCTACGGTATTGAAGCCGTAGCTGTAAATATTCATCAAAATGTATCAACATTTTGTACATTATACAATGTCTTTTTATTAAAGTAACTGTGGACTGGAATAAAATATTTTTATTTTTATTTTGAACACATCGCAATTGATCAGGAAATATTTTTTTTCTCCAATTTTCTGCGTCGATGCCGTGGCCGGTGACCGTTATACAATTTAAAATCAGTTTGCATTTTTTACTATACTATTTACAGTGTTCTAATCATTACGATTTACTTATTGTTTTGCTTCCATTCTAGATAATTATGCTCGGTGTTTGATGTAAAATTGAAGCGATGACTGAATAAACGAACCTTGGCTGGCGAAGATGTAACAGGAAATGTACACATTTGTTGGAAGTGAAAAAAATTGTTAAATGCTCTGGAATTTCTTTTGAAAATAAAAATATACTAGCAATTTTCTATTAATGGTTTATTCAAGTGGGCAAAATGTAATGTACAGAAAGATTGCTCGTAGAGTATCGCTACACTGAAAAGTAAGCAACCGACAGCCTGTATAAAAGAGGGGCTGTGATTGGCTGTTACTTACGCGAGATTTGAACGGGACTTGCATAGGCGTCGGATCAGATGTATGTAGGGCGGAATTAAAAAAAAATCAAAGTAAAATAATAAAATAAAAAGGCATTAATAACAAAAGTAATAAAAAATTAAAATAAGTTTATAGCCAAAATAATTAAAGCTCGTACACTACATCAGATTTTAATCAGATTGATAGCTGAGTGACCAGGTGATCTACTAGCCACAAAAGTAAAGCTCAATTTTTAGTCCAATGGACCAAGTGCCGGGCCATTTATCGAGATGTGACCCACCCGCCGTGTCAGTTTCAACACTTGTGTCAGTTATAGAGACCATGAATGTCCATGTGACATTCAAATATCAATTATGCAGTGTAACACTGTCTACTTGCGATATTTTAATGTAAAATCAAAGCCCGAAACACGTTTACTTGTGCATGTATAAGACATGATAAACATGATTGGCGAGTATAATCACCAGAGACATAGTTGACGTAATGTTAGATAATGCACATGTATCGTGTAATTCACATATATTCACTCCATTCAATACATTATCTTTTACTTCATTCGTTCGTTTATTACGATATTGTTAAAATATAAACAAAAAATATTTTACAGAACTGTACACAGACATTAGATCATATATTGGTCAAAGAGTAAATGCAATAAAACACAAATGACTCGGAGTATACATTTACAATAAAACGTTGATGCTAGAGGGCTTATGGTATAAATTGACAGCATGGACACATTCTCTTGTGCATTGACTTGACGTATCGAGTACGCCATCAACGGCAATGGTGTGATTACTTTGAAATGCATTGATGGTCATTGATGGCCTTCGTACAATATTCATTCATTTTATTTTTATTTTTTTAATTATTGTACCTTCGGCAAAAGGACGAGGAGAAGGTCGTAAAGGTAACAAGCACGACGCCTTCTAGGTGAATCATTGATTTGTTTCGTAAATATGTCAAGCTGTTTATACATACTATAGTTTTAATGGCGCGTAAAGGTGTATATAATGTATAGATATATCCGATTTATGGGAACACGTCTGGCCTTAGAACACCGTGTTTGTTACGCGTAAACATACATATAGGTATAGATACATACCACTTGTAGTGACACATTAGGAATGCGAATAACCACCACGCTTTTTACAACTTACGACTGCGTCATCAGTATCACGGACACCCGCAATGTTGATGCTGCTATATTTATAATGAATACAGAGCATTAAATCAGGAATAGGACGAAGTCAAAGTTGGCGGGCTATTTTGGTGTCATATACTTCTTTGTAAAATATGTGCTTTCTTTTGGTCTGTGCAATGCCATGCGAACATATATATTAGTGAACTATATGTTAAATTCACAGTTATAATACAATTATTTATCAGCCTTTGACAGTATATGCGAACAAACATTCAGTGAGAGAAAAACATAAATGTGTAATGTAACACACAGTATTATTGTACACATAGTTATTAATTGATTTATTTCTACGATTTCATCTACGTCTACCATGCTGTAACTGATCTACTTATGTAGTCAACTTTGACATGTTGTGATGTTGGTTGTCTGAATCTAATCCAACATTGAAATTGTATTTTCTACCATAAACTATCCCGGAGTTTAAAACGTGTTTCCCTTTCGCATGTTTACTGGGTTCGCAAAAGCAAAATCACTTATCAATGAAGTTTCCCATGGTAGATTCAAATGATATGTTATCATTATTACAGTGGATTGATTAGCTGGACACACTACAATGTACTCTCAACTTTCAAGCAAATGACCACATAATTAACTTTTTCAGTGCCCCAGCCACTTTCAGCAAAACAGTTTCTCCCAGGTGACGAAAGTGTTTCGGACCTTTTGAACCACTTAATTATAATTTTTAAAAAGTCTATCTAGACAAGCGAAATTAAGAAAAAAATACCACCCTTTGTTGCCATTAAAGCTGAAATTAGTTAGATAAGAAAGATAGAAAATATGATTTCTATAAGAAGAAATACCACATGCACGTTACTGTTTCCAGAAAAATGAGCCATTTTTGCACCATAAGACAACGTTACTTCTATGTTTTGATGGTGAACCCGTTAGTATGTACGGCCCTTTTTCTTTGCAAGCGTTTGAGATATTAATGTACAGAAAGTGTTATCTATTATGTCAATTGTTTCACGCAAATTTTATGATAAATAAATTATCAAATTTCTTTTTCTTTTCTACAGCAAAACCTATAATGTATATGATTGTCTATATTTGAATACAAATAGGGCAGTTTATTACACACTTATTGGCTTTTTCTAGTTTCTTTATTTTTCGTTTCTGTGTATTTGTAATTTTGAAATGAAATAAAATTACTTGAAATATAAAAAAATACTAAATTGCAAACAAATCACTCAGCATACATTAAATTTGATGTGTTTAGTTAGCGTATCCGTAAAAGCATAATTTTCATCATTGGAGAAAATCACGGTATCTCCAATGACGGTAATCATGGAACGGGAAAAACAGAATATTTAAACTAGACTTTGCAACCACTGACTATAGCTTCCAATTTCATTCATAGTGCCCTGATTCCAATATATCTGTATAGTGACTAAAATCAATAATGGGATTCCTACACCGTATATTATAGTTCATTTAACATCGTGGAAAAAACAAGAATTACGATTCTATGTACTGGTATATTCAGCGTTATTGTCCTTGCATATCCTATTATTATTCATGTACTGTGAAATTGACGAGTTGGTGAATTACAGTAGTTGCAGGGAAACCACGTTCAGATAATGACAATACTTTTGAATATACGTATGACGGCATTGACCGTAATGCCTATTTCGAATTGGTCAACCTCGATTGAAAATTGTTTATCTTACTACCAAATGTGTTTCATTTATCAGCTACTTTCAAGGCAGCCAATCTGTATATCAATCTGTATATGTTGTTTTAGACGTATTTACAGGAGATACCTGACAGGCTGACGTGTCTAGTGCATGCAGAACAGACAGATCGAATTTGATGAAAGGTAGGTATTTAGTAGTACTGGTGTCTGAATCCCACGAAACAATGTTCACAATTCCAGTTTTCGAAATGATAATTGTTTTGAAACACTACATCCAATCTATAAGCATGCATCGTGTGTCAACGCAATGAAACGTGTGGATGCATTTAAAGCAAGGGATGTCGCGGCAATTTCTCACTATATTGTTTGTTATATAAATTCCACGGTACAGAAAATTACAGATCATTACTGGGGTTTCAATACATGTGTAACAATTTTATGTGCTTTTATTAATACATACGAACTTTTATATCACGTAATATTTAATAATCGGCAACCTCTAACTTGACCTTCACCCTGTGACTTGCGTGTTGATGCTGTTTTTAAAATCGTCAAATAACTATGTACACCTACATTACTACGTGCAGCTGTATACATTTGTGTAAATTCGAACATCTTACACATAAATGTTCAGCAACGGTATTCGATTATATGATTATGCACCATTTGAGTTGTGACATGATATCCAATAGAAAATACTGAAAATCATAAAATGATTGGTACAATGAACCATGCATGATTTTAAGAAGAAAAAAACAATCACACAGCAACACGCACACACTATCGGACACATTTTAAATGAGTAATATCAGCATACTATTTACTACCGGTGACGCCAGAGCGGATTGAAACTACTATCAACGTAGTCGCCAATGATGGTTACAGTGAGTGTTAAGTAATAATAATAATAATAATAATAATAATAATAATAATAATATTATTATGATTCTCCAGTAAGCATTGCGTGATGTTTACAATAGTGCAATAATGTTTTTGTTCATATAAAAAACTAGTGGTCGAACTGAACAGTCATTGGCAGCTAACATAGTAACCCAATCATGGAAATAATCGTGATTCGGGTGTTAACGGTAGTAAATTAATGTAAATATACAATGAATTTAATTACACATTTAGAAAGAAAATAACAAAGTATTAACTCTTCTATGTGATTTATTTTATTATGCTATTTCTAAACATTTTACTAAACACAGATTCTATCAATTTCATTTGCATGTAACTAATATTTCACTCATCAACGGAGATGTTTAATGAGTCGGAAGCCACGTTCATACATTCCATATCCCCTCTCACTTCAGTTTGGTCATTGGTATAAAAAAACATCATGTAATAATTACACATCTCGTCTTCCGTTGTGGCACTGTGAATACAAACATTCATTAATATGTAACAATTAGGAAAAACTTGCTATTACGTTGCGGATATACATACAAGTAGATACCCTTTTGCAAAGGAAAACCCAACACTTGTCATTTGTTATGTAATATAAACCATTTTCTTCATCGAAACAACTTGTTACAAACATTTTTGATGATTTTCCATCATACATGTTGATTCGTCATACCAGAAGAAAGCTTTCTGCTTACAAGATTTGATTTCACTGAATATTGTAGCAGAATGCACGGCAAATATACTTACATAGATAACGGCACCCATTACCTTGGACAATATATTTAACTGGTGTTCTTACCCTATATAAGTTACAGTTTTCTTCTTCGTGGTACTATATACACACTGCAGTTCCTGAAAATACATTGTACATGGTTAGACAGTTCACCTCAAATGGCATAACCAGTGGATGACCAAATTAGCGATTGAAACTTGCGCCATTGTGGAGGTAAATCACGCGTGAGCCATCTTATATTTGAGACATTCGCATCAGAAGAGGTCTGAATACTGGAATAAACATCTAGCATCAACAGTGACAAAAAAAGAACTATACTCACCAACATATCACCTTGACGTATATCTACGTTATTAACTACAGGATAGAACGCCTGCAACATTGTATATATAATATCAATACAAATACAGCATTCAAACCAAACGTTGAGTATAGGACGATTGGCCTTAGCATTTGAAAGAATTTTTTTTCAGATACAATGAGCTTGTAATTAAAAACTGTTCAGAAGATGATTTCAGACTAGATTCCAGACATAATCATCTGATTATAACTCGGAATTATATATATGAACACATATCTCGTAAATTTATGTTTAGATTTAATAATTTAGATAAACGTATATCGAGCTAAATCCACGACTTCAGGCGTATTATTGTTGATGCCTTTGCTATATTTAGTACTATTATTATTATATCATAACTATATCCCACACTTTACTACATTCTTATACTATACAGTCTTGTGAAGTACTGCACCCCCTCTAGAAGGAAGATCATTCGCATTTAAAAGGATCTTCTCCATGCTGTCTCTACAGTATGTTTAGTAAATTATGGTTACATAATTGTTTGGATAAGAACATTATTATTTAAAAAATAGACTTATATTATTGATGAAAAGCGATTTTTCTGTTTATACAAGATATTAAAATTAACTCTATATTTTAAATTTCCCTGCCTTTTTAAAATTATTGCAGTGTATCGGTTGACATTCTAATCTGCTTAATAGTTGTATCTTGAAGGTGGATGTTAAAATAGAAGCCTCTACACTCGTGGTTTTGAAAAGTGGAGGATCACAATATTGGTATTCCAATCGTTATTTATTTCAATGTATTAAACATTATAACTGGTTCTATCGTAATTTGCCAATTCTTTATGCGAGTCCTAGTAATGTGAATCTGACAAAACTGCTGTTATTTGTCACAAACGTACCTTAATTCTAACGATCCTCAGTTGGGAATGTAATCTCGTGAGAGTCCGTAAACGAGACGTTATATCTCGCTGACTCTACTATAAGTATGGGCTCTTTGTCAACAATGAGTAAATACCGCAAGTCGGAATAGTTTATTAGTCAAACATCGATAATTAACCTGTGAGTTTATACTACCAAAGTGACCCACACTAAGAAGGTTGCAAACATAAGATATAATACGGAATCGTAGTTGAGCTATGTGTAACTCATCGCTCGGTGTGAATTGAAAACCACACCATATTGATAGAACTAAAACAATATGCACAACTAATATCACATTTGCTCAGATGATAATATGGAATGTATTTGTGTTGTTAAATTCACAGTTCTTGTGAATTTGTGAGCGCACACTTTGAATTTAGATTGTATTAACTACCTGAGGTCTCTGTGGGTTTTTTTCTCCAATTAAAGTGTATTCACCATTTCGCACACGGTATCCAGTGACAACCATACCTGAAATAATATAGAAACTGCATAAACAAACATGTCAAATTTTTTAATATGATAATACCAGGCATGTAATTGACAATCATTTTGCAGGTACACATACGTTACATAACATGACTTACCCAGATTGTTTGTATGCACACTAAATGCAAAGGGATGCAAAACAGCTTGTCCATTGTATAAACAGTCTGCATCTATATGCCCTGTGAAGTAAATGATACTGGCATTTTGAAAATGTAATTTAATTGACAATAAACGAAACCTACATATAAATATAGTATATTTTAAATAAACAAAATAAAATAAATGCCTACATTTCCTCATGCGTGGAGGAATTGCAGAACTCCCACCGGACAATAAAGCCATGCCCGCCAAATACGCCGGCCTTTAAAACAAGAACCAGGTAGAAGAAACGAATCAAAACACGTTTATCATGACTTCCAGAGCAATATTACTTTCACTGATCGCCATGATCGTGTAGTCAAAGATTACATTTGAAATAGTATTTTACACGAGTAGATACTATGTAGTGTTATATAATCAATTTCATTAAATTTCATCATCCAATATCCTATTACTATCTATTAAGTGTCAACATCAGCTATTAATTATAACGTTGTTATGTCTCTACTTCATACATAACCCAGTCAAAATGATTCTCAGTACTTATTCACTGTTACAAATGCTGTACCATTACTTTCACCATCCTACTACAGCCAGATCTGAAGGCCTTTGCCGCATTCTGGCCACGCTATGTGGCGCGGATCGCGTGGACGGGTTTCATGTTCTCTGCACGTAATAAGCTCGGTTATTAAGCATCCTTTTTTTGGGGATGCCCGGTGGCCGAGGGGAAGACGTGTAGTGGCGTGAAGCTAGGCGATTAGGTGCCGTACGCGAGCGCCGGTTCGAGTCACGCACGCAGTACGTGTTTACTATAATTAGACATAGTCTTTACCTTGCCGTTTATTCGGTGTTATTTGCTTACTCAAAATGATTGACCTGGTGTAAAACAAATCTATATATATGACTATATTCTAAAAAACTAGATACCTTGACATCCGATCCAAACATGTTATATAGTAAGATAAAATAAAAATTAGATACAAAAAAATACTTTTTATCTGTCATCTTTAATGTTAACCCTGATTCGTCTTTTATTCTTTCATCCACTAGACCGTAATGTACTTGAAGTACTAGATATTTGATTCCAGAATTACCACCAACTTTGAAAGCTGTATCTGGAAGAGTTAATATACATTAATATACGTGCGTGTAATTATATGTTTAATAATCATAAATAAAAAGACAAATGGTGTATCTGGTAGTTCTTAAAAGTATGCGGTGAACGCAAACCTGGTGATTAGATATGTATAAACACCATATGTCAAAATATTCACAAGATTCTAGCAAATCTACTAATATATGGAATATATGGTTAAATGACAATGTTGGCAATCTTCATTTATTGAAAGACATTCAGACGTAATTAATTGATGAAACCATAAGAAATGATATGTTTGATATATATAAAGAACTTCCGATTATAGTGGTAGTGATGCTGGGGTTTGGTTATTTCACTCATAGAAATAATTCGACCGCGACAACACCGAGAAAGAAAGTTAGTAAGGTAGTTTTATCGTCACAGACAAGCAGCAAGACATGTGTAATTTGAAACAAATCCGTAGACGATGTAAACATCATAATTATAATTATTCATAGCATATCATTTCTGCTATGACTAATTATCCGATCGCCGTTGTTCCACTTCTATGAACTATCAGTCATTGGGGGCATGATTTTACAGCTGTAACCTATCCGACCAATATGTTTAATGTTATTCCACCTTTTATAATATGTATTCAATGACAATATAGCCCCAAATATTATTATGGTGTTTGTTGCTTTCACAATGACTTACTTTTTGGTAGATACAATTGCGGGGCATTTCTACCCCATGCATACATTATACGCTCTGGTGAGCCTTGTCCGCACACACCAATACCCATGTCCCCACAATTCCTAGAAATAAAGTTCAAGTGACAATTCAAACTACTTCCGTTCATATTATTCTCCAGTTCCCTGCAATCAATCACAGTTCCTCTATCCCCTGTCTGGAAACGGTCATTGTATAAGGTGTAAATTGACCTCTTTCCCTTGCTAAGGCGCGTTGCGAGTATATGCAAAGCATTGTCTGTTGATCAGTACACAGCCGGTCACTATTTTTGACATCGTCAGTGCTGTGTGTCTTGCATGAAGGTGACTTTGCCGATTTTAATGATATTCTGACGGTATTGTAACCTGTCTGACATGTGGTGATCTAATCTCTCATTTCCGGGGGTTCGATTAGAGGAATAATAACAATGTTCGTTAAAACTATGCAAATAAACTACTAGATACAAACCAAATGAATCGTATTATACAAACGATGCCGTCAAATATGCCTCCGCCGTCGTTTATATTTCAAACTGATCTTATAGATATTTTTCAACAAGGTACAAGAAAGGTTTTCTATTCACCGTTTTAATAATGCGCTGTGCAGCTTTTTGTCCTTTTCTATGGTTATCCCCAACAATTATTCAGCCAAAGTCGCAAGTAATTTTCTAACACTAGCATGTATACCAAACTTTTAGTTTAACGTGAATTCTCTACAACGTAACAGTTAGTATGTGCAATTAATGTCAACAAGTCACTCATTCATGTAGTCTATTCAGATCATTGACTTCTACTCGTTGTCAGTGCAGCTAAAGTAGGGATAATTCGTTACTGTCACCCAGTTACTCCACGCCCCCTAAACGTAACTCCCATTTCAACTACTCAAAGCACACTAATCTGTCTGTCTGTCTGTCTGTCTGTCTGTCTGTCTGTCTGTCTGTCTGTCTGTCTGTCTGTCTGTCGTTTTTGGTATCTTGGCATGCTATTTCATTAATAAAAAATGTCCCACACTTTGTCTATGGAGGTACGCAAGGATGTGGTGGGGGACATCTATCAACTGAACGCGCCCCGTTCACACAGCACTGTACGCAGGGCTACAGTAGTGACAGACTCTCTCCGTATTTGAATATTGTTCAATTTCTA